AGGGAAATAAGACTTTAAAGATATTCAGCATAACTGAAACACCCTGAAATTGATGGAACATGCTAATGATGACTTGGTCCTTCTAAATGCAATGAAAACTGGAGGTTTAATTCAGTAAATTATATTTCTGATGTTCACAGAGTTGTTTTTAGTTACCTTTTTTATGACTAAGAGACACTTTAAACATAGAAATGTCTCACACTCACAATTATTCAGCTCTACATAAATAAAGAGGAAAAGTGCCACCTTGGAGCAACATTTCTGTCAAAGTTATAGATATATTTCTTTTGAGGTGAATATGCTGCTTTTCTAAACTTTACTTTCCATATAGGTATGGTAGAAAATATTGGGGAATTTGGGGTTTCAGTGGAACATCACATCAATTCACTCTATACAGATAAAATGTAAAACATTGCTGTTTCACGTTCAATGAAGTGTAAGCTAAACTACAAACTAATTTATTCAAAATAAAGCACCTTAAAATAAAACTATATGCAAATACCTATTAGCTTTCTCCAATCTAGGGACTTACAAACGTATCTGAACTATTAATTCTTAAGATTCCTGCCAATGGGAGTAATGGTTTGGGAAGGCTGTTATAGTTCTGCATATAAAAATACAGAATAAAAATATTTAAAATATCAACACAGACTAAAATCATGCAACTGTTTGTAGTTTATTATACAACTTTTTGAAGCAAATATATGTAATCAAATCACCAACTTACTTAATCAAGCCATCTTCCACAAAGATATCTGCATAAAATGATTGGTCGTCATTGACAATCTTCCCTCCTTTGATGAGCAAGCGGTCAGTCTAATTTAAGTAAACAAACAAAACATTTCCAAGGTAACGTCAGATGTTTCATTCAAAGGCCACAATAGGTATGTAATCAGAAACCCAATGCATGTAGAGCACAGATTGCAACACAAACACATTTTTCAAATTCTGAAACATGCATTTTATTTAAATAAAACATGCATAACAAAAGCAGTTTGTGCATCCTTGTCATTGTGATTTTGCCAGTTATAATTTGAAACATGTTCATTTATGAATGTTAAGGATTGTACCATTAATGTGGCCAACATTTCTATTATAGCGTATGAAGAAGGACAGGCAGCTCTTAATAAAAATGGAAAGGTTTTCTATATTTTTTAGCCTTGGAAATAAGGAGGGTTGATTGTATTCTCATAAAAAGCCTTTGTTTCTCCTCTCTCCAGGCCTCCCTACCACTTCAAATGCCGCCTCCAACACAATGAGGTACAGACCAATGCAGGCTGTGGCATAGCTAAAAAACAAGGGGCCAAAAGGGGTGTGTGTGTGTACTTCTCTAGTCAATTTGTTTTCTTTTCCTCACTAAAATGACAACTTTTTTTCTTTCATCTGATATTCTTTCGTAGATAAATATACATGTTAAAAATACCATACTTTCTGTGTCCTCCGTTTCAATGAGCACATGGGAAATTCCATGATCTTTTCAGTAGTGACAGCTTGGGATAGGAGACGCTGACAATTTGTGAATCTTCTGTAACCTTCACTTACCAAGCAAGATACCAATTGATAAACAGATAGACACAGGCAGCCCTAATCTCAAAAGGAACATCGTTTCCATCAAAGAAATTGAATGTTGTTATGTAAAACGAATCAATAATAACCATTAAGCAAGGAAGAAAGCAATACAAAAAAGAAAATCATTTTATTTTAACACAACTCCAGTTTTATCACAAGCAGAAATGTATGGCTAAAATTGTCTTGTGACTGAAACTTTATTGTAGATACTTCTAAAAATACATGAGTGTTTGCCTTTGTCTTAAAAAAAACCCCTATGATCACGAAGAGTTGGCACTGAATTAATTGGACATAATCAATCAACAACACTGGCTTCTTTATTAAACTGAGATGATG